TATATATATATATATAAATATGGGAAAATTTTTGATCAATTTCTGACTCAATAACCTTAGGAAAACATGGACCAAATTTTATATGATAGTCTATGGGTGATTCTCACGAAACGTGACAATTCCCTGTCCCTTGCTCCAAGATCTAATACAATAATACTGAAAGAACTTTTTTTTTTAAGTAATTAACAAATAGCATTGCTGTTAGCATTTTAAAATGACTTTGCTCTAGCATTGGCTGTTTTGCGTACTTAAAAAATTTAATTGAATATCAAAATGTCATTTTCCTGGCATGTCCCAAACAATATTTCCAATAATAACTAGCTTCAAAACTTCCCATACATTTTTCAAAATCTAATTTTCTTTATCTTATCCTATGTAAGCATTTCTAGAATATACGCAGAGGGTATTGTTTACTAAAACTTCGCTTAAAATAATTTTTTCTGTCAATAATTTGTTTGTCCCATGAAAATCTGTCGTTTTCCTGGCTACTTTATTTAGTAATTTATAACCAAAATAGATAGCGCCAGGAATCAATATCTTATGTTAATAGATTGATTAGATACCCTCCTATCTGAACATGTTTTGTTGCATGAATAAAGAACCAATTTTCTGGCTCAAAATCCCTTTCAAAAAAATTTTCAAGATAAGTAGGTTTTCATGCTGTCATTTTCCTGGCTTCTTGAAATCATTAATAACAAGAACTACATAGATTTATCTGAGTTATTTTAAGAAATACTATTGTTTTCTGCAGAATATAAACGTCTTCGGCCAAAATATTAAATTAACGTAAAGTTATATGCCATAAAATGGGGAATTTGTCATTATCCTGGCTGTCATTTTCCTGGCTTATGAATGCCAGGTCATTGAAGTGTTACCTGAAATTCTTTTTGACTGCTAATACTGTAAAGAGGGAAAGCAAATACTAACCTAATACCAAGTTTATGTATGATTGTAATATGCTTGGATGTCATCAAAGTTATTTATTTAATGATTGATTATTATACACAATTTTATTCTGCACATATCAGCAACAATTCTTTTGTTTCTTTCTATAGTAGATAAAAAGAATTAATTTAAGCAATTTCTGGTCCATCTAACATAAAGGCTTAAGTTGAGTTACTTACTATTAACTTAAAATGACTTACTATGACTACTTAAGTTGAGTTACTTACTATGAATTTTTTAAACTTCTAAGGTAATATGTCATTTTCCTGGCATTCAAGATTTGGTGAAAAACTACACTGCTGTCTATAAGATATTAATAAGTGTAGCTAAAGAAGTACACAAAACATTTTTAGATTATTCTGAGGACTTTAAATTTGAAGAAATTTTTTGATCCAAAATGTCATGTTTCGTGAGAATCACCCCTATATATTTATTTCTCTTACGTGACACCAAAAAAGCGGATATTTCTTACTTTAAATTAGCAACACTTTAATCATCTAAAGCAATTCGTTTTGTTAAGTTGTCTTTAGTAATAATTTAAGTAGTGTTAAATAATTAGCTATACGTTAAGTATTTATTTAGACTCATTTTGTTAGGTAATCTTAAGTGATAGATTAAGTAGTGTTGAATAATTATCTAGTCATACGTGAAGTATTTATATAAAATAATAGAGTATATTTTTATAAAAATAAAAACTGAAGTAATTATTTAATTTTAATTTTAAAATGGCTATGGAAATTTTAAATATAAACGCCTCATACTGTCATACCAATTATTGGTGACAGAGCTAGCCTTTTTCGAGCATACTATAATCAAGTTATGGCTCTAGAAGAGCGTCAGAAAGTAGTACAGCCAAAAATTATGGAAAAGAGAATTCCAGCTCTTCGAATAGATAACTAACTCACAGAACTGCTCTGTGAGGTATAATATACCAGAAAAACAACATACGGGGTGAGAAAAACGCTGAATGAATACAATGGAATGACAAAAATGAACTGAATGAATACACTGAATGACAAAAATGAATACAAATGACATTAAACTTTTACCATTTCTGCTTATAATATACATGTCACTACACTCTTTCCACGCAGGAAAATCATTCGACATATCATACGTTCGCCTTCGTTTCTATAGCAGTCGACCAGAGAGCTTTGCTATATACAAGAAAACGACAATGGATTCAGATTGGGAGCCCTATCAATACTACAGTGCCACTTGCAACGAAACGTATGGGGTACCGGATGGAACGTACGCTTCCAGAGAGAATGAAACATTGCCACTCTGCACATCTGAATACAGTGATATATCTCCTCTGACTGGTGGTACAATTATATTCAGCACTCTGGAAGGAAGGCCAGGAGCATATGATTTCGAGAATAATCCACAACTTCAGGTACATTTTAATCATTTTCGCTCTTGTGAGACATTTCTCTTTCGGTTCGTTTACTGAAATCCTCTTAATGATGACCGTGGACTTGCTGATATAGCTTATTTATTTCATGACTCTGGGTTATATAATTATTTACAATAAGTTACAAAAATGTACATGAACTGTAGAATATAATATTCCGGAGCGCTACTGCTCCCTTCTGGTTCATACTTTCTCTACATTCTCAACTCTTCCACGTTCAAACTAATACTGATCTAAAAATATTCTTTCTCATAAGAAAAAGTCCTTCGCTCCACCCCCAATGTAGGGGAACGACACTTCCCATGTCCCTTACCCTCTGACCCTCAGGTCAGGGGTCAATCAAATGCGTGGGAGAGGAATCAGGATCCTGACACCCGGTTTCATCTTGTTCGTCGTAATCTGAATCTTCGGTGATTAATGCCCTTATCTCAGTAAGCTTCTCTGGAACCGTCGCTAACAACTCCTTAGCTAGAACTATCAAATCTTCCCTGCTTAGTTTTGCAGGAAAACTCATACTGACCGTATTAACTTAACTTCCTAATCACAAAAATAACTATTGATATTTAAAAATAAAATTTAAACAAAACGAAAACTTAGTGACCCATTCTATTCCGATCCCCCAATCTTACCTTCAGATCCACTATACTCATACCCCGGCATTCTATTATAAAATTTAACACCTCACATGTAACCAAAACATATACAACAAAATTTGTATCATGCAATATTCAAAACACGCAATATTCAAACATTACTCTTTCATACACATAAATACAAATTACTCTTTTCAACTTTCATTACAAAATAATAAAAATATCGTACTCTTTTGGTACGCCTAGAATATACACCTTTAATTTCCCCACAATCAAAACTCTCAAATTTCATAGATTTTAGAAACATAATAATTAACCATTTCATCCTTTAAACAAAAGCAAACACCTTCCTTGCCCCTTTTTCGGATCCAAAATTATTTTAACAGAATGCCTTATAAATAATCATCACTACTAAATAATAATAAACCAAGAGCCTTGTTTACTCAGCTCGCTATTGACATATAAAAACACAATCTTAAAATAATCCTACACTTTTTTACAAGTTATTGAATCAATACTCTTCTTCTTTCATATATACTCTTAATAAAGCAATAAAAAAAATTGCACTCTTAACAAACCAACACACTAAGTTACTTAAAAAAAACATAAAATCATTACTTATTATACTTATCAATTATAATCATACTCATTAATCACACAAACAATACTATAGCTAACTGGCCAATCCCTTAAGCTCAAATAAAATAACACATCAGGTTGACTTTAAACCAAAACAATCCCACAATTACAAATGGATAATTTGTAAGCTACAAATCGTTTGTGGTGGCCCCCTTTTACATGGTGGACGCTAGAGGAAGGGGGCTTGAACGGCGAGTGATAGATTTAAATGACCCCGTCCGAGGAGTCTGTCGAGGCACACGTAGGCACAAGACATTTTACATGCAGAAAGGTAGACCCCCTGGCCGGTTGTGGTCAATGGCACGTGGCATCCATGTCTAATTGGTTGATATCCGAGGATGTGAGCATGTAATTTATCTTTTCATGCATGGGATAAAGCTTACCTCCCTTTATCTTTTCAATTGTCCTCTTTAGCAGAGAGTCGATGTTGAAACCACACTCTTTTCTCTATGGTCACAGGTCACGGAGGGTAGCTCCGGCTTCCTATCGCCTCCGGCGATAATAGTGTCTTTCCAGTACCGTCTCTTCAGTTCTGCACCCGTCGATGTAGTCGTTCAACATATTCCTTCAGGCCACGCTCTAAGCATTCCCCATCATAGTAGGCATCCTTCCATCAAGACTAAAACTCCATCAGGCAACATTCTGTACTGGGTATTTCTCATAGTGGGTATCCTTTTACCGGGCTATGATTCTTTCCTATCAGCATTCTTCCTTACATGATCCTGGCGAGGATCCTGTCGACTGCGCCAATTTGTGAGACATTTCTCTTTCGGTTCGTTTACTGAAATCCTCTTAATGATGACCATGGACTTGCTGATATAGCTTATTTATTTCATGACTCTGGGTTATATAATTATTTACAATAAGTTACAAAAATATACATGAACTGTAGAATATAATATTCCGGATGTCCCTTACCCTCTGACCCTCAGGTCAGGGGTCAATCAAATGCGCGGGAGAGGAATCAGGATCCTGACATCTCTCAATTTAAGATATATTTTTTAAAAAATCGTCTTTTTTCCTCTTTTTTAAATATAAAATCAATAATTTCAAATTAAAGTTGAATAAATGTAATTTATTTTATATTGTGAAGTTATACGAGCAAATGCAACAATGTCAGTCTTAAAGAATTTAATTCTTAACAGCTGCAAGTATGAAAATATTTCTAATTTCATCATGACTGTTTTAATTACGACTGACGTAAGACGGAATGAAAAAAAGAAATGCGTGAAAGAAAAGAAAGAGAAGAAGAAAGCTTATGAGTAAAAAGTAAAATACAGGTGACAGAATGAACAGGAGTAAGTGAGAATCCGGGCGCAATCTAACATAGCAGAAATAATCATAAGTTCACCATTATCTGAAACTAGCTTTAAAAGAAGATTCCTTCTACCGAAATTAGAGTTTAGGCAATTTTCTGGTAATATTTAAAAACAGTAGCCATTTTACGGTCAAATCCAGCCTATTCATAAAGATGGAGACATAGAACAGGTCTCTACATTTGATTCAAGCTACTGTTTCTGAATGTCGCTCGGGTGATAGCGGAAAGTTTTCCACCAACGCGTGATAATTATGCCGAAGCGCAGTAATGCTTAAAAGCTCGCTTCGATAGTTATACAGATTTGTTAGTAGAGTCAGAGACCTCCTGAAGTTAGTTATTTCCACGCATAAAAATGAAACATTTTCAATAACATCCTCGTATGATAAACTCGAATCCCATTTACGAGCCTTAAAACTTTTAGAAATAACGATGGAAAAATCAGCTTTGATATTATACCCCAATGGTAGAACTCTGATTAAACGAAGATTTTATAAAGGCACTAGCACCTTCTGTTTCCGTGGATGCATGGGAGTGTTTACACAACCAAATAAAATTCATGTAGAAGTTGAAGGCGATGAGCGAAGAAAAATTGGTAATGTGTTTTGGATTAAATGATCCTAAGTGTACGCAAAGTTACAAAAAAGAAGCAATGGGAAAAGAATCTTAAATTTTGTAGCATCAATCCTATTGCTGCCAATTTGTTGACGACAGTATCAACTACAGCTATTATTAAGTGTATATCAATATTTTGTGATGGCAAGAATAAGAGATCTGAATAATTTTCAGCTCAAAAAAAATTAACTTTGAAGAACAATGGAATATTGTTTAAGAAAAACACTGTTCTGCGTGTATGGAGCACAAAATTAAAATTGGATGAACTTTTTTGAGATATTTTATTTGCTCTAGAAATCATGTGATATTGATCTGTAATAAGCTGCATACACAAGACTTTTGCAAAAGAGGAAGAAAAAAATCACGTTCAAAATACTGTCAACATATCTAATTGAAATAAAAGTAGTACAAGAGCATTTCTCCAAACTTTAAAATCCATGATGGTGTCAGAAAATGAAAAGAGAAGTATAACATTAGTTTTAGGTTCGGTAGATTGACAAATGTTGCACTAGAAATGGGCTATCCTTCTCCTTGCCAGGAAAGACTAGACCCTTTGAAGCAAACAGAGGATGAAATCTGGTCTTGTAGTTGCTGAAATCCGCTTAGGATGGGCATTCATGGGAAAATTACCCGAAAAAGATACCCCAAAGGAAAGCTCAGCTTTGGCAATGAATGTAACTTCCTTGTTAGTAAATCAGCTGGATATTTGTGGCAGTTTAATTTGATTGAAATCAATGCTCCTATTGAAGCAAGAAATTTAAGACTTCAAACAGGAAATCGTCATTCGAACCTCTTAGAGACCATGAAAATTAATTGTGATGAACGGTGCGAAGTTTGTTTACCTTGGACTGATAACAAATAATCGTTACTCGATTAATTTACATTTAGTTCAGAGACGACTGGATTACGCTACTTTGAAATTTAAGAATATGAATTTGCATCAGAAACACGTAGATATTCTTACAAGGTGGCTCAAATTGGATATCACAGAAGCAGTTCCACTAAATGAAATAAAAAGAAACGAGGAGTAAGTTGACTCAGATTTCTAGGAATCAGAAGCGAAATTTAATTATTAGAGATTAATTATTATCATTTTTTCCCTTCCCAGTGACTTTACGTTACTACATAAAGTAAAACACGTTTTTTTTTTTGCTTCATATAATAACGTAATACCATCCTCAAACTCATCCCATCAGAATGTATATTAACAATATTTAGATTCACTTGGCGTAATAATATTTGCTCGTGGCCAACTCATGATAGTAAAAATTTTTCACTATCGAGTAATTTCCTCCATCGCATATCCCTTTTCATCAGACAATTAATTTCACAGTATCGGTACTTAAACTGTTTAGTATTAGTTCAATTTTAATAATCACCAAATATATCAATATAATACTTTATGCCTAAATTAGTATATTTGGTACTTATTGCATACCCCTTCAATATTCGAGTTTTACTCGAATTTCATTTATTAGTAGCAGCAAACTAAAGCCGAAATATTAAAAACAAATAGAATTCTTATAAGACCTTGATAAGGACTTAGAAGCAAGACAATGGTTCCATCTGACCTTCAATTTACTACTTAAAATATAAATAATGGTGAGGAAAAATTCTACTAATTCTAATTTATTAAAATATCAATACACTACCTTTGCTATCACTGGAAAAATATTTCCTGAAACTTTATACGAGAAACTCATTGTAGAATTCTAATTAAAATTGCACTAGCCTACTTCACTTCTTATTTAAAATTGCACCATAGTAGTAGTACATATAACCAAAATTAATTAAGCGTCATCAGCAAATGGTGACTTTTTACAGTTCCCTTAATCAAGTTTCCCATTAACCTTTTCACCGTTAGGCACGTAACTTTTCTCTTTATTTCGATTAGTCCATATTACAAATACTAATTAAACATCGTTATGAATAATAATATAGCGATCAATAATATCCCCAAAGCGAATAATTATCTTTTTGCATTAACTTTGTTTTTTCAAAAATAGATTTTTTAATTTCAATTCTTAGATATTATCATCATTAATTAAACAATGTCTCAACAGTATAGCAAT